ATTAGCATTATCATGTCCTATATCCATCTACAATGCAACATATGGTAGAAGGATAATGTGAAAATTCCCAGTGACTGTGACTTCAGTAGCTCACCAGTGCTCCCCAAAGTTAAAGAACACAAGCTAAAATAAAAACATACTAGGAGAAGCTTTTATACAAAGTATTTTTCCCCATATAGGATTTGAAAGGAGATAGGCAGGAGCTGCGTGGACATAGGCAAGAGCTGTGTGGCCACTTCCACTGGGGGAACATGCAGAGGAGACCAAGACAAGTGAGACTGTGCTGGAAGGACCCAAAAGCTATTGTGGAGGAGATGGGAGAGTACAAGGAGATCAGGTCTGTGACCTGTTGGTGTAAATCCACTGAAGTTTATCTAGACAAAGAGCAAGGCAGCTTTGAAGCGGGTGCTGCAAGAAATGACATACAACACACATGTGATAGAAATGGAGAAGTGAGACTTCTTTGCAGACTGAGGGGGTGATGACAGTCATTGCTTCTCTGGGATTCAGGATGTCCATGGACACAGAAAGAGGCTGAAAGTCAAGACTGGATGAAAAATGAAGTCATCCCAATATGTGTGCCCTGGGAGAAGGACAGATTTGCAAACAGAAGTGGGAGAATTGGAAAAGTTCAGCATCAAGGATAATGCATCAGAACGATGGAAGAAGCCAAAGGATGAGCTGGATCAGAAAAATGCGAGAGGATCTGAGGTTGCTGAGGTTCTTCTCCCCAGGAGACCATCTGAGCCATTTAGCTGAGGAAAGCTCAAATAAAGCCAGAATTTCTTCTAGTCAATACAGGTTGAAAACTTTGCCAGAGGTTAGTCAGAGAGGTATTGAAATATAAGTAAGTATTGAAATATAAGTTCAGTTTCCTAATCACAAAAGCTTGCAGAGAGACAAAGAGAAATGAGAGAAGGCATACCGAAAATCAGAAAGTCATGCACTGAGTTTTGCAGCTCAGTGACTGCGCTGGGTTTGTGTGTGTGGTGGGGTTCTGATAGCGGGGGGGTGGGAGGGGGATGTACCTAGAGCGGTGTCTCCTGTGAGAAGCTTCTTGAAGCTCCCCTGGCTCCAAGTTGGACCCACTACTGCACCAAGTCCGAGGCAATTAGCAATGGCGATAATGTATTTAAGAAGGGGGAACCTGGATGGAGGAGTTGGAGTTGTGAGGAGGAGTTGCAAGGACACCTATGCGAACACTGAGGACAGTAGAAGAAAGGAGGAGGAACAGAGCGGGGGTGCGCCGGTGCACCCCCTCGCAGCCTGTGGTGAGACAGCACAGCTTCCCCCCTGGCCACCCATGGAGGTCCATGGTGGAGCAGATGCCAACCTGCAGCCTATGGAGGACCCCACACTGGAGCAGGTGATTGCACCTGAAGAAGGCCGGGACTCTGTGGGAAAGAGCCCCCACTGCTGTAGTTCAGTGCTGGGAGGATTGCAAGACATGAGGGTGACCCACACTGGAGCAGCTCGGAGAGAGCTGCAGCCTGTGGGAAGGACTCATGTTGGAGAAAGTTTGTGGAGGACTGTCTCCTGTCAGAGGGGGACCATGCTGGAGCAGAGGAAGAATGTGAGGAGTCCCCCCCTACCCTGAGGAGGAAAAAGCGGCGGGACTGACCACACCCCCCATTCCCTGTCTCCTGCGCCACTTGGGGGAGGAGGTAGAGATATCGGGAGCAAAGCTGAGCCCAGGAAGAAGGGAGGGGTGGAGGGAGGTGTTTTTAAGATGTGGTGATGCTTCTCACTGCCCTACTCTGTCTGTTAAGTGTTTCTGGTTTTAGAATCTGATTTTTTTTTTTTTCTTCCCCTAACAAGTCTGTCTTTTGCCTGTGACTGTAATGGGTGAGTCATCACTCCCTGTCCTTATCTCGATTTCTGAGCCTTTTGCTTTATTTTCTCCTTCCCAGCACTGGAGGGGCAGGGAGGAGTGAGCGGTTGCATAGCGCTCCGTTGCCCTCTGAGCTCAAACCACAACAGCGACCAAAGACTCACAAAGAATCTGGCAGAGGGGTATAGAGCTGTCCTCACAGCTTTGGAGGCATGGTCAGGAGAACAGGGGGCCATCCAGCAGCCCAGGGAGAAATGGAGGCAAGGATATGCAGGGTACCATCAGGTGACATTGCACTGCAAAGCCAGCAAGACACCCCAGCAGGCAGGTGATTAAGCGTTTGGAGAAAAGCAATGAAAACGCTAAGAAACTCCAGTATATATCAGCAAGTTGCTATATCTATACCTCAATGGCCTGGCAGTGCTCAGAGCATTAACTTAGTATGAACTACAGTGCTTGCTTCAAACCACCAGTCAAGGAGGCACAAAATGATAGAGGTGACACATGCTGTAGAGTGGACCTCAGGCTGATAAGTTCTGATGGGCTTGTCAAGTTGGGCTCTGTGGCAGTACTGCTTGAGCTAGAAAATGTTGCCATACTCAGAGAACCCACAGCCCTGCACCTGCCCTTGGGTAGGGGTGCAGAGCTAGGTCTGGGGGAGATAGGGGAGGAAGAGTGGTGCACAAAGAGCGATGAGAACATGGGCACAAGTTGAGGAGCAGCCCCTGTGCACCCTGTGTGAGCCCTGGGCAGTTCCTCAGGCAGAGCCACAGCGTGCACCTGCTCACACTAATGCTGCCACCAAACAGGGGTAGTTGCAAGATTTCAAAGGGCATCAGACCTGGTGGTCTTGGTTCTGCAGCAGACTGCAGCTTGGGGCCACGTAACCCAGATAACGCAGAGCTGAATCAGAGATGTGTGGGGAGGAGCTGTTTCTGGAGAAATTTGAATCAGATCCTGGAGAACATGAAAATTAAAGGAATAATCAGAATAAAGTTCTGAATAATTTACTGGAAACATGGTAACCCGAGTTTTTGCCCTAACAGACTCAGTCACGCTGAGGCAGGGCCTGAGTAACTCCAGGTTGAATGCTGGGGAAGGAAATTGCACACCATAGCCGGGGAGTCCCGGTGGGGTGGGACAAAGGGCTAACCAGGCATTAGCTAATGCAGGCAAGACACAACCAAGGTTTGAGGTGGTAGGATGGCTTGTGGTGACCCTGTCAGGGCGTGTAGCACAGCCTCCCCACCTTCTAGGAGTGGAGCTGGCTGCTCAGGGTCAGCTCACTGATACAGGCAGTAGATAGGAAAGACCTGGAGGGAGCCTTAGTAGGGGTTCCCCCTCCTTTGCTTGGCAGCTGCTTTTAAAGTGAGGCTCATTGCTGGCTCCTGCCTGAGCTCCACTGCAGCCGTGCCTGTACCTGGCCACATACCCCACTCATCTGCACCCCCACCCAGGGACTTGACTTCCCAGCTTGAACTGGGATCTGCCTCATCCCCATTGACTTCTCTGGTGATCTGGACTGGCGGCTGATCCTGGCTACAGCCCACAAACTGCTCTGCTTGCCTTGCTCAGGTCTGGTGGGCTGGGGCCCTGGCAGGGATGATCCTGCCCTGATAACTGTGTTATCACCCTCGGCTCCCGGCTCCCTGCCCCTGTGGGAGCAGCCGGCCTCCACAGCACCCTGGCAGTCTTCAGCCACCTCTTATCAACCATTTCCATCACCGGGGAGACACGAGTTGCTTTACAATCACGGCTGGGAATATCTGAAACAGCAAGTTGGTACATGACTCCCTTGCAGCTCTGACAGGAGATGGCCTCAGCAATACTGCCATCGCGATGGAGGTGCCCTTGGTTTGCTCAGGGAAGGCATGATATTCAGCATCTGCAGCAGCCCCAATCCTTTGGCAGGCCAAGACTCTAAACCAAGAGTCCCAAAGGATGCAGGACACAGCCTGTGGGCAGTCCAAAACCCCTGTGGCTATCCTGGACAGATCCCACCAATTTCAGAGGCAGTTCCCAGCCCTTGCTGCGCCATCACGCACCGTGCACTGCAGAGCCTCCTCCGGAGGCCAGGAGAGCCTCCCCTTCACAGGAAGGCAGGAGCCATTTGGCCTCACGGACCACCCCAGAGGCCTGCAAAGCTGAGAAGAGAAGGAACGGGGGGCTGCTTCCCATCAAAGCTGCGGGGGGAAGGTGGGCTTTTTGGGCTGACCTGGGGCTGCAGTCCCAGCCCCAGCTTGGTGTCCCACTGATTAACTGGCCCCCGTGAGCAGACTCCAGGAGCCATGCTGTGGACTATTTACCAGTATCAAGGTACACGCTGTGGTGGAGCTGTTGCCTCAGGTCGAGTAAGACAGGGGAAGCCTTAGTTTAATGTCTTTGGCTTAAACTCTTAGTTTAACGTCTTTGGTTTAAGCTCTTAGTTTAACGTCTTTGGTTTAAGCTCTTAGTTTAATGTCTTTGGTTTAAGCTCTTAGTTTAACGTCTTTGGTTTAAGCTCTTAGTTTAACGTCTTTGGTTGGGGTAGGGCTGGCAGGGACGAGGTGTCTGGTATCTTGCCGATGGATGGTGAAAGGCTGCGGTTCTGAAGAACCGTGTGGCTCAGAAACCGTGCTCATGGGCAAGGGTGTCTGGAGAGCCCAAGCAGCTATTTCACCCCCTCTGATGGTATGAAGCCAGGTGTTTCTCCAAAATACAACGCCTTCAGCTCCACGCTCTCAAGGAGCACAGCTCAGCTTTAATCATTAGGTTTCCTCCGTGCTCCCTTATTTCCCTGCTGAGCCGTATTTCCCTCAGAACAGGGGATGAGCAAGAAAGCCGGGGCCGCCGGCCTTTCCCCACACGGCTGTTTCGCACGTCCCTGCTCGGTGCCCCGTGCCCGTGCCGTGAGCGGCCAGGCAGGAGCCGTGTTTCTTGCGAGCGCGGATGCCTCCATCCTCGCCCCCGACCTCCCCCAGAGCGGCTGGAGGCGAAGCGGGCCCGGGCCCGGGGCCTGCCCCGCCGGGGCGGCCCTTCTCGGCGCGGGGGGGGCGGGCGGCGGCCCCAGCCCTACCGGCGGGCACCGGCCCCAGCCCGCCGAGCAGCGGCCCCGCCGCCGCCGGTGCCGGCTTTTTGGCATCCCTAATCGCGGCTGGCCCCTGTGATTGGCTGCGCGGCTCTGACCCCGCTCGGGCTCCCGGCTGGGCGGATAAAAGGGGCCTGAGCCGGGGGCTCCCAGGCATTCCCGGAGCGGGCACCAGGGACCGCCGGCCGCAGCATGACGGGCAAAGCGGGCGCGGCGCTGGCCCCCGGCCTGCCCGGTAAGCCCAAACCCGACGGCGCGGCCGCCGCCCCCGCCGCCCCGCCGCCACCGCCTCCGCCGCCCCCCGCGGCGGGGGCCAAGCCCAGCTCCGGGCCCACCCCTCCCCGCTGCACCGGCTTCGGCATCCAGGAGATCCTGGGCTTGAATAAGGAGCCGCCGTCGCACCCTCGGGCCGCCCTGGACTCGCTGCCCGCCGGGCACCTGCTGGCGGCCCGCTCCGTGCTCAGCCCCGCCGGCGTGGGCGGCGTGGGCATGGGGCTGCTGGGGGCCGGCGGCATCCCCGGCTTCTACACCCAGCCCACCTTCCTGGAGGTGCTCTCCGACCCCCAGAGCGTCCACCTGCAGCCTCTGGCCCGGGCCCCGGGGCAGCTGGACAGCAGCCAGACGGCCAGCTCAGGTAGGCACGTCCCCGGCCCCCCGGGACCCCGGCAGCGCCGCCGCCCGCCCCCGGCAGCCGCGGGCACCCACCCGTCCCGGCGGCAGGGACCGTGTCCAGCAGCGGGAGGCGATTTCGTTTCGGTCTCGAGGAGGAGGAGAAGGGCGGGCGGGCGGGACCATGTTCCCCCACAGCCCGGGGCTGCGGCCGCGGTGTGATGGCGCGGCCGGGGGCTCCCGGGCCGGGGATGCGCGGAGCCCCGGCGGAGCGTCCCCCCCGCGGCGCCGGCGGCCCCAACTCGTTGCTGGGGAATTAGGGGCCGCTCGGCACACCTTTCCTAGACGGCAGCAGCTGCCCGCAGCCCTGCCCCGCAGGCCCCACTCCCAGGCCGCCTCGGGTCCTCCCGGAGCGGCGGGCAGCAGCGCTCGGCCCCCGGCCCCGGTCCCGGGGGCGACCCCCAGCCTCCTCCCGGGAGCCGTCTGACGCGGTGCCCGGCCCGGGCGGTGCCCGCCGCCCCCGCGGGCAGCAGGGCCGGGCTGGCGGCGCGGCGCCGGGGCCGGGAGGGTGCGGGGAGCCGCGGGCAGGAGCGGGGCCGGAGCGGGGCCGAGGCGCGGGGGCAGCCCCGGCCGCCGCGGAGCACAGCGGCGCACATCGAAATGCGGGTCCCGGTTCCGTTCCCCGGCTGGGCCTTCGGGGCAAAGGCGCCGCCGCCCTGCCCTTAACACCCCCCCCCCCGGCAGGGGCACCCCTGGGGAACGGGGGGCCGCGGACAGACAGCAGCTCTTCCTGGGATTTTTTTTTTTTTTTTTTTTCCTGGTAGCTTCCAAAACCTTAATTTTTCCCTCCTCGCTCCTGTGTTTCTGCGAGGAAGTCCGGGGTCCCCGAGCTGGGGCAGGCGGCCGCGGGTGCCCGGCCGTGGGGAGGGGGCTGCAGCTTCCCCATCTTCCTACGGTTTTGTTGTGCTTGCCGGGCTCCGCATTTTTAGCAGCGACACAACAGCAGCCCCAGCAAACGACTCCGGGGGAGAGAGGGAAGAGCGAGAGCCCGGTCCGTGGCCGAAGCCTTCCCTGGCCGGGGCGGATCGCCCCGAGCCGCCTGGACCGGCACCGGCACCGGGAGCAGCGCTGGGGCCGAGCCGGGCTGGAGGGAGCGGCCGGCGGCGGGCCCCGTCCGCGGCGCGATCGCAACGAAAGCTTCGGCTTGAGCCGCCGGAGGGAGCGGAGCCGCCGGACCCGGCCCTGCCCGGGGGTCCCCGGCGGGGAGGGAGCCCCAGCCCACGGCCGCTGCCCGTCTCTCCGCAGATTCCGAGGATGTCTCCTCCAGCGACCGGAAAATGTCCAAATCCTCCCTAAACCAGAGCAAGAAACGAAAGAAGAGGCGGCACAGGTAAGCGAGCGGCCGCCACCCCGCCGCGTCCCGCCGCCCTCCTCCCCGGGGCACCGGGCACCGGGCACCGGCCAGCCCCGGCGGGGCCGACCCGCGGCGAAACACCCCTCCCGGCACCGGCCGCCCGAGAGCCCCGGCGCCTCTGCGGCTTCTCTCCCGGGCCCTTTCCTTTTTAATTTCTCCCCGTCCAAAATACATCGGATCTGGGGACGTGCCTTTAAGGAGCGGGGGATCCGCCACAGGTGTCATTTTATTTCATTTTTCTGGCTGCGGAGCCGGGTGTCCCGAGCCGCAAACCCGAGCAGCCCGTGAGCGTTTGGGCGGGATGCGGATCAGCAGTGTTTTCGGGGAGAAAAGAATCATCAGCCTGTCCGAAATAACCAAAACTGTCCCCTGCTCCGCATGTAGCGATCTTAGTATTGGCTGTCAGCAAGAGAGAATTTCTATCAATGATTTAAATATCTTATTACTTATAAATAAATGTTTTACCAGTAGATTAAATAGTTGGGATTCAGACAGAGCCTGCAGAGAAGCTGAAGGATGCTGGAGAATTGGTTAAGGAAACGAAGATCGACTTTGGGAGATCCGGAGGGGATCTGGTTTCCCCTCGGGAACGGTCAGGGTAATAGACTTTGCCTGACTTGTCCCACAGTTAAAAAGGAGTTGGATTGTCTGCACCTTTTAAACAGAAGGGGAAAATCCCGTTCTGGGTTCTGGCACTGCTGTGGCCAGAGAGTCAGGACAAAGGAAGGCCAGACACCATTCGCCGAGGGTGATTTAGGAATAATTAAATCAATCCTGACACGATGCAGGAAGGGTGGATTTAAAGATGCCCCAGTGAAAGCTTAGGGGGGGAAGGAGACTGACTGACCCTAGAGACGTCCTGCCATGCGTGCAACAGGAGGCTTGGTCTGGAGGGCTCATCCCAAACCCGGGCTCCCTCCCCAGGCAAATGCTTCTAGTTTCGGTGCTCTGGAGTAAATATGAGTTCGTTTTCTTTGTGGACCGGACAGGGCTGGGTGAAAACACGGCAGGGGCTGGTGTACAAGTCACGGTCTGGATGGGAGAAAGGAAATGAAATTCAGATTTGTTTTATTTTCAGTTCTAGACGGAAACAGACCTGCAACATTTAGCCGTAGTTGTATATTCTATACTAAATGGTTAAGACCTCTAGTTGTACCAAGAAAGGGCTGGGAGATAACAGGCCAATAGTCTGCAAATAGCTGCAGGATAGAAACACCAAAAGGGGTAGTGATTTGTGTATTGCAAAAGGGACAGGGGCTACCCAGGGATGAGAGCTAAAAGGGGAAAACTTCACCTGAACGTAAGGCAAAACCCTCCTGCCAGTGAGCCTTGCTGGGCTTCGGGGCTCTTGTCGAAGGAGGGTGGAGAGGAATGCTTGAAATCCAAACTGGATCAAAATTGAAATAATTTTTCCTGCGGTCCCAGAGATAGAAAACACACGAGTTAATGTGGCTCTGCTGTCCCTAGAGTTCACAGATTTGTCGGAGCTGAAGGAAAACTGTTTGAAAAGAGAATGGACTTAGGAGTGACTTGAAAGAATTGCAGGCAGACACCTTGCATTTGCATGCTGCTTTTGTTGGTAATGTTATCGATCTGGTGGAATCCTTTTGATTCTGAATAGCAGGGGATATTTTTGAGATGTTCTGTTTATGCTCTCTGGAATTGTAGGGCTTTTCTGAAATTTGGATGTATTTTAGAAAAAATACTTTTTTTTTTTTTTTTCCCTCTTTCCTTCCCCTTTTTGGGAGTTACATGTTTCTTAGTTTGATAACATATTTATACCTTTACTTTGAAAAAAGGCTGCAATTTCTTGTTGTTTTGTTTTGTTTTTGTTTTTTTCTTTTTCTTTTTTTTTTTTTTTTCCATTGGAATGTTATTAGTTTTTATTAAAAATTGTGTTTTGTGTACCCGGGAGGGCTGGAGGGTGGGAGTTTTAACCCTCAGGGGAGTAGAAGTGGTCCGAGACCTCTCATCCAGCCCCTGGAGAAGGGTTTTCATCTGTCTCAGCTTTCCAGCTGCTGATTTTTCAATCTGGTAGTCCTGAGCTGAGAACTGGCTGCGCAGAGGCGGGTTGGGCTGCTGCCCGCCCAGGGCGGTCCAGGAGGATTTCCAGAGGATAATGGGGTAATGCAAACTGGCAGGGAGCAGCTAATGGGATATGAGTGGAAGCAACCAGGGTAAAGATAGAGGAAAGGAGCTCGCACTGGCTCTCGTGGGGAAGGACTGGTGAAAAGCAGTGGGGAGCAGAGTGGATAAAACCTTTGGAGGATTCAGCCAAGGACTGGGGCTCCAGGGGAGGATTATTTGCTTGTGGAGATTGAAGAGGCTAAGGACCAGCAGCTGGGAAAGGGCTCAGCACCTCACAGGTGGGGTGCTGAGGGGATGCTGCTTTTCTTGTGCTTGACTATCAAAGGGTTAAGAAACCTCTGGATGCAAGAGGAGGGTGGTGGGGTGGGGTGGGGTGGTGGTTTTAAGTCGGCCTGGGGTAGGTTTGATGTTGTAGAGGGGGTGAGGGATAGGGACACCCCCAGAATCCTCACAGGAGGCAGCAGAGCCTGAGATGTAAGGGCAGCTGCCATCGCTGCTGGCTGTGGGTCCTTGCTGCTGGGGAGGGACCATCTCCAGAGACAAGTCCCTGAAAGGGAAGGTGATTTGTAACTGTTTAAAGCGCTGTCTTCTGGCATTTTCTGATTCTCCTTTCACCCTGGCACCTGACCTTTTGTGCACAGAAACACAGGAGATGGGGGGGGGGGGAGGTAGGGAGGGAAGCTATGCGTTAGCAGCTTACCCAGGTTTCTGTAGCTTCTGTGTCCATTTCTCTGACTCTTCATCATTTTTGCTTTTTTTATGTTTTTTGATCAAAGAGTTTTACTCCCCTCAGGACAATCTTCACATCCTACCAACTGGAGGAGCTGGAAAAGGCTTTCAACGAGGCCCACTATCCCGATGTATACGCTAGAGAGATGTTGGCCATGAAAACAGAGTTGCCAGAAGACAGGATACAGGTAATCATCTCTCAGACCCTCTTGTCCGGCTCCTCTCAGCCATGCTCACCCCTCCCTGAAGAGAAGAAGGTAGCAGCATGGGAAGGCTGACATTGCTCTGAATAAACCTCCCCAGGCTGTCCACTCCCCTGCTCTCGATGGTAGGCAGCCAGATCAGCTGTTCTTGGCAGATTTGTATTCGGCGTTTGTATGTCGAATTGTGCTGCACGTGCTGTGTTGTAGCAGTGATTTGGGGTGTGTGTAACAGAGGGGATCCTAAATCATTGAAGGGGAACTGGTGTGCAAGGAAAGACCACAGTGTTTCGAGGTCTTGGTGGCATAGGCAAGGAGAGAGCCTCCCAGAAACTGGGTCTGGGTGGGCAGTGTGGGAGGGAAAGAGCACATCTCTGCTCCTTGGGGCACAGAAGAATGCACAGGGATGTTGTGGGTGGGTACTGCTGTGGGTAGGATTGCAGTGTGGAAATGATGAGTGAGTCCCAGTGAGGTGTTAGCACCATATCTGCACTTTCACTATATTTGCCTCCTCCAGTGAGGCTTCCCTGACAGTTTCTGGGGGTAATTTTTTGTTAATGATTTGTAATGTCTGGGGTTTAATTGCATGCCAGTCTTGTCATGCCACAGTGAGGAGGTAGAACAAGGCTGTGTGGAGTATCGCTGTGGTGTGGTGAATCCTCCGGTGGTAAGGAGCAGCCTGAGCCATGGGGCTGTGCCAGCACCAGCCTTTGGCATGCATGGGAGCCAGTATACAAGCAATCATCACATCACAAAAAGCTGGAGAAGACTTACAGCTGCTGTGTACAGTGTGGGAGGCACAATGGGCTTGGAGAGACCAAACACGATTTTCACGAGGGTGGACTCCAGCAAATTCTGCTGCCTCCCTCCTCCCCATGCCCTGCTGCCACCAGGTTGCTGCACAAGGCACAGTGCTGTAATGGCTGAGCCTTGAACCTATTTTTGCTGGGGCAGGTGACGTTTCTTGTCTGGCTGGGGGTTAAACTGGCCTGGTCCCCTGCACAGTGGCAGTGGCTGCCTCTGTGGCTGGTGTATAGTGTTTTTTACAAGAGGCATTGGCCTGAGTGCCACGTGGTGCTGGGAGGGTCCTGGGTTCCCCCAATTCCTTCTGCTCAGTCCCTCATGCATACTCAGCACTCACTGATCTGTTCCTTCAGCCCGTGCTCTTTCTTTGCTAAAGAGATGGCCCAGGAGGCTGCTCCCTCATGGGTTTGGAAGTTAGCTCAGGGACCACTTAGCAAGATAACGCCGATGCTGGAAGCTGCTGAGGCATGACCCTGTGAAGGGACAGGAAGATCCTCCTGAGCAAAAGTGCAGCCCTTTTTCCCCCAGTCCTGAGCACCCCTCACCACCGTCATTCTTGTGCTCAGTCAAGAGTGACATTTTTGTAAAAGCAAGTTGTGCTTCTTATCCTGTTGTGCTGGCAGGACTCCAGCTGACCTAACAGCTTGTAGATAACCTGCATGCTGACAGGATTTCCACTGGTCTTCAGAAATAACAGCCCATCATCTGAAATCCTACCTGACACATTTTGCTCTGAGCAACAGGTGCTGATGTTTTGCCTCTACAGAGAGTGGGCTGTCTGGAGGGTCACTTCACTTGTGACCCTATAGGACATCAAGTCAAGAGGGGAGAGACATGTTGGGAGTTTAGTGTTGCCTGTAACCACCGTCTGATGCTGGACTGGAAAAAGGATCCTTTGATTTCCCATAAAGGGCCTTTTCAAGGAAGAGATTCATCTAGTGGCACAGTATATGTTGAACTGCAGAGGCACCATTTCTCTGAGCAGAGCTGAGGGCCTTCACTGTGGGTGAGGTGGAGGCAGATGTTACAGCAGACAATGCAGAGCTGGACACTGCATGTACTGCTTCAGCTTCTGGAGCATCCTTCTAATGCTGAGACTCAGTGGTTTATCTAATTTGGAAGTGAAATAGTGGCTAGAATATTTTAGCTGTCACTGACTGCTGCCAGCATGTCATTCTGCAGCTGGCTAATGAACAACTGCCTGCTCTTCCTGTTCTGCAGAGTTTTTAAACCTAGGAGTGCTCCTTACTGTTACCCCTCTGCCCTAGACATCAGGTTAGACTTGAACAGCAGAAGAACCCCATGGTGTGGCTGTTCTGAACACTGGGTGTTGCTAATGGCACATGTGTTCCAGGAGAAAGTGCTTGTGAGTAATACTTTTGCTCATCATGAAAGGGGAAATCATGAGAAACAGCAGAATTTCTGTGGCATCTGTTGTATGAGAGCACAAGCATCTGGCCAAGGTGAGCATCAGGGTCACGTAGGAGTCCTGAGCACCACCGATCCTTCCAATGGGTCAGCACCTGATTGTCCCTTGCCACATATTCTGTGAAGTTTCCTTGCCCATACGTTTTTGTGTGTGACAAGCCATGACAAGATGACTCCTAATCTTGGTCATGCTTCTTGATATTTTACCTCATGTTCATTTTCAACTTTAGCCCCTTTTGTATGAGCCTAATTCTTTCCCCCTTGTTACAACATCCACACTCTATAAATAAATCTAAACTACTTCTCCTGGCTGTCACTTTTGGTTTTAATCATTGCTTAAGCAAGCTGTGAAGATCTTTTCTTAAATCATTCTTCATAAATCACATGTTAGTCTCTTAATCATGTGGTGGTTGTTCTGTGAAGCCCATGCTGCCTGCCAGTCTTCCTGGAGATAAGGGACCACATGCCTACAGCTGCACACAGTGTGTTCTCGCCAGTTCAGCTGGACTTCTGCGTCCTTCCAGAAGCAGCCTCAGATTAGCACTGGTCTACATGCTTCCATATTTATTTCTTTCTATTTATCTATTTCAGTCACTTCAAGATTTTTTTAGACAGATTTTCTTTTATCCCCAGGATTTTCCCTTCAACGTTCTGGGTTTCATATAGCATTTTATTAACTTTGGCTAACAAGCATAACAGCCCTACCAGCTCTGACACTGGCAAGAAGTGGATGTTAGAGAAGACTATGATAGCAGGGCAGCTATGTAGTGGTACTTACGGAGCCTCCTGGGATTTTGAACACATGTAAATATCTAATATCCCGCAGCAAGAAGTCCTGCAGCAGAACTGTATGAGTGAAGTAAATCTCGCTTTGAATCTATTAGCATCATTTAATGCCCATTGGAAAAGACAGCTGAAAATGAATCTTTATTCCATTCTTCATAATATTTATAATTTCATGTCATAGTTTTTTGTTGTTTTTTTTTTTTTTTCCCCTTGCATGAGCTTCTAACTGCTCAAGGGAGCTCTATATTTTTGCATTTTCTCTGTAGCTTACAGTTCCTCCCATCTTTCAACATTGTTCTCTCCCTCTTCTAGTCATTAATGAAAGTGTTTTCTAAGACTGTTGTGATCATCACATGCTCTGGATTTTCACAGCATTTCATGTGGGTTCCCACTGGATCCACACCTAAGAGTGATATCTACCCCTTATTTTCTTTCATGGAATTATTTGTTAGGAGGTAGTAGTCAAAGAGAAAGTAAATCACCTGTGAAATTCATTATGAAAGTGAAATTCAAAGAGTACAATTGAGAGAATGATATATAGGAACTGCTTGCATGTAAAACCTTCAGCAGGACACTACAAATAGTCATCAGAAGCCAAGAAAGTTATTGGTTTGAGAGAACATTGAATTCAGGAAAAAATATTCAAATCCTCCATTTAAAAAGGAAGATGAGCATGTATTTTTTTTCAAGGCAGCACTCTCTCACATTGCATTCATCTTCCTCCCATATTGAGCTGGCAGTTCCTGGAAGGAGCATGAGCATCCTCCCATTGGGCAACATGGGAGAATAATTTAATTTTCCTAGTGAGACACTTTGCACAAATCAGACTAGATGTTACTGTGGCCATTTTGCAAGGTATTTGAAAAAGGCGACATTAATCAATGTATTTGAAAGAATAATCAGAAGTGCCGCTGTTAGAATAAACCCAGACCATTCGGTGAAATCCAGGTGAGGTAAGTAGATTCCTGTGGGGAATTATATCCTTAATAGGCAACACAAAGTATTCAAAATGGCCTCAAGGTGACAAGTATTCTGATACCTGACATAAATCAGTGTGTTTCTCATAACAGATACTCTTAAGTGTAATGTGTAGATTTTAGGTAAATTATCCCTATTGAATTTATTAATATGTGACAGTTCCAAACTTTAAACACCAGTATCTACAATATTAAAGTTCAGTAATAGTTTGAATTGGGATTATTGAAATGACTGTATGTGTCATTACAGTATGTCTCCTACTGATCAAACAAATCAATTCATCGGTTCAGTATTTAAAAAAAATAAGATATTGACTGCCATTGTGGGGACACTAGATTCACCTTTTGAGGGAACTAATCACTTAAAAAAGACAACAAAAGTGGTAAAATTTATCAGCTCTTGTTGTTAAATGATTGTATGGTAGTTACATGAATGAAGAATCTTGGGACAAATAAAATTGCTCACGTAAGCAAAAGGAACACTGGTGCCATGTGTGAGGAACGGGGATTATCTGTGTATCCAGCAAGCTTTCTCAGGCAGCTAAGAGGTCAATTCTGGCTAAAACCAAAACAAAGCCAACTAAAACTGTAATTGAAAATGTATTTTTTTAGCTGATATCAGATTAACACATTTCAGTATCACTGTGTAGTCCTTTAGGAGTTGAATGAGGATGGAGGTGTCAAGATGGGTGGTAATTTGGAGGGAGGCATTTGTACCAAGAGTATTTTTACAGAGAAAGAGGCTTATCTTGCTTCAGTTTTACAAAACCATTCTGTATTTAGAGGTGAATATCATTTGGAAAGGCCTGAGGAACCTGTATTGCACTGAGCAGGAGCTCAGGAGTGAACCCACGGAGTCCTCTCAAGAAACTTAATAGAAATTGTGAAGGAAAAATTGGCTTTATGCAGCTTTAGCAGCCCTGGCTTTTCCTGCTTGCTGCAGAGTGTTGAATGGTAGTCCTAATTCCATGGTGTAGGTGTGGAATGGGGATG